TCATGATTATCCACATTGTTTTCATTATCAACATCAACACCAACATTTGGATTTTCAGAAAAAATTTGTGGTGTTTTAATTATAAACTTATCTAATGCTCCTCTTTGTAATTGTTGTAACTCTTCATTTTTTTTTTGTTTCTTACGTTTTTCATAACCAGATTCATATTTCCTAATGCCGGGAGCCATAATATGCAATTCACAGATTCAGCAATTGAAATCAAAGTTATCAAACAACAATATTCTAACAAAGAGGCAAGGAGCAATCACATTACACATATAACATATAAAATTAAAAATTAAAAATTTAAAGTTAAAAAGGATTGAAACAACCTGATTGAAAAGTCCTTATTTTTTGTTTATTGTCTTGGTCGGTTACTGCCTTACTGCCGTCACGCCGACCAGCACAGCAGCACTCCCGCCTCTCCCCGTCTCCCGGTAACAAGCCAACACCGAGTACACCGCCACAGAATCTATAATATCTACAACAAGACTTGCAAAAAGTGCCAAAATGCATAATAAATTTGATTAAAACAATTTTTCAAAAAAAAAATGATTAAAACAATTTTTCAAAAAAAAATTGATTAAAACAAAACGCAGAATAAATTTATTATGATTGCTGAGTTGCTTACCAGTGAGTCAGTGACCAGAAGGGGCAGAACCGCATAAGGTAGAAGGCAAGAAGCCAGAACTCCAGAGTCCAGAGTCCAGAAAAGCGCAGAATCCAATAAGTCCAGAGTCCAGAGTTCGTATTGCCTTGCCGGCGTGATAACTATTAACTAATAATGATATATATGATTTAAAAACAAAGATGCAAATAAGGAGGAAACGCCCAGGTTTAAGATTGAAGACTTCACCGCTTCCAGTCTTCCCGATTCCGTATTTCCGTGAATCCGTGCAGAATTGTCGAAGAAGACTAGAAGAATAAGAAGAGTAGAAGACTAAGATGAAATTCGTGGAGTGTGCAGCCTTTGCCGGAAACGCAGAAGTGTGGACGTCGAAGAAGACTAGAAGAGTAGAAGACTAAGATGAATTGAACTCTGAATCTCTGAACTTATTCCTCTCAATCCTCTACGGCCCTGCCAATCATGAATCGGCAAAGAAGACAAAGAAACATCGGGAAACAACATTATTGATTACTCAATTAATTCTTTCATAAATTTTAATTAACGTTGGAGAAAACTGATCGGTTTAATTGTAAAAAAAAAAAAATTTTGTTTAATTAACGGAGAAAACTGATCAGTTTATTCCTCAGAATTTTTTTTTTTTAATTTGTGAGGTATATTAGGTATACTACTATACTGGGCCTCTAAAATTTGGGGGCCCTCTAAAACTGGGGCCCCTGTGCGGTAGCCCAGCTTGCACAGCCCCAAATCCGGCCCTGTATATATATATATATATATATTAATACTTAATGTATAATATTATTAGTACAAAATAAATTATACTTGCCTTAATAATTAATTGTTAATATTATTGTCTAATAATTATTTATTGTAATTCTCTCCACCTTTTTCAGTGTAATTATTATGGTTATTTTATGGTAATCTATATACATATATATTTTTATACTTAAGGTATAATATTTTTGGCACAAAATAAATTATACTTACCTTAATATATAATTAATTTTTAATATAATTTTCTAATTTTTATTAATGGTAATTATTTAGGTAATTTTCATTTCCTTCTTTCGTGTAATTATTATGACAATATGGTAATATATTTCAAAATTCTGGCAATTTCATTAATTATTATAGTAATTTTATGTTAATATGTTTCAATATTGGAAGAGAACAAATATTATAATTAATATAATTAATGAAATTATTATAGTAATTGCCACAATATTTGGTAATTATAGTTAATATAATTATTAAAATTGAGAAATATAATATTTCTTCCGTTACCATATTTGTGGCAATTTTATTAATTTATATAGAGTAATTAATAAAATATGAAATATAATTAAGGAAATGAAATTATAAAATTAACAAAATATGTGTTAATAAATATTTAGAAATTTTTTTTAAATACATACATACATACACTTATGCACTGTAGTAATCATACAAAATTTAAATGTTAATTTTTTAATTTTAAAATATAATTTTTTAATTATAAATCTATCGATATAAATTATAATGAATGAAAGTATATATAGAATTTTCCTATATACATACTAATAAATATTCTGTGTATATACTATGTATTGTATAATCATATATGGAAATGTGTCCGATTAAAGTTTAAACTTACTCATACGAAATTTAAATTTTTTTTTATTAATTTCTAAGTATATTTCTCTTAGTTGTTATTCATATTTTTAGAATTATAATATATATGAAATACAATTAGGAATAAATCAACTTAATTATGTGAACTTTTCTATAAATTTATCTAAATATGTAAATGATTAGCGATTATATTAACCATACAAAATTTAAATTTAAATTTTGTATGTTATGAAAATAGATACTTGACCAAATATATAAAAGTCCAACTATATTATTACATTATACATTTTAACATCTTTTCATTTTTTTCTATTTTTAATTTTAAATTCATAATATCAAAAAATTTTCCGTGTAACGCACGGGTAATACAAATCCAAAACATTGATATATAAATTGTCAAGTTTCAGCACCAAATGTGAATATCTACATGTTGGCTATTATTTGGGTAATTATTTCCTCGAATTAAAGAAATAATATGATCATAAAACATAATCGATTCAACTCAATTTTTCAATTGCTGCACTATATAATATTCGATGTTATAATTTACAGAATTTTATATTTACGTAATTATTATTAATATATTATAACAAATACATTCCTTACAAAAGTCAGGGCCAAACACTAACTCACGTTGGGTTATTAATGAAAAAAATAGTCTTTAATCATGATCAATTGTACGTGGCTTTTTCCCGAGTCCCCATCCCGATGGCCGGAAGGTTTTAGCTCTAGACAATGATTGACAAAATTCTGTTACTAATACCAATGTCGTCTATAAAGAGATTTTTCAATAATGTGTAATTCAAACCAGTGATATTATGTTTTCTTTTTATACCAAGATGACAAAATTGTTATATACTGCATCTACATAGAAAATATATCTTTCGTACAAATAATTTATATAACTGAGTTGCTTGACAACTAGCTAATTAGCCCAATTAATACAAATCTTAAACACTGATATATAAAATCTCTAAAGTTTCGGCACCTGATGCGTATATCTACACGTTAGCTATTAATTGGACAATTATTTGCTCGAATTCAAATAATGATAACATCATAAAACATAATCGATCCAACTCGATCAATTCTTCAATTACATTATATAATATTCGATATTATAGTTTATACAATTGTATATCAATCCAAAAATTTTAAAATATTATAACAAATTCATTTCGTGCAAAGCACGGGTAAAAATACTAGTGTATACTTAAAAACGGATGCAATTTATTACCAAATTAAAATTATACTAATGTAATTTGAGCAGAATTCAAATTAAAACTTATTATATATTACGGAGTATTAAAAAAATACAAATGATATTTTGACTTTAATCGTTTCCTTTTTCTTTATTACTATAATAAAGCCATGGCAAAAAAAAAAAAAAAGTAAAAATTATTCTTCTGTCTAGTAAACTTTGTTAGGCTCAACCCAGACTATCAATAGACTATCAACCTTCACAGCTCTTAACAGATCTCTCGTTCTTTGCATCACATTGTTTGATAGGCTCCAAATTTTCAATAGGACTTTCAGGCACCTGTCGATCTAGAAAGTCGTGAAAGGCAGAAAAAGTAAAATAATTGAATAAAGTTATACAAAAAGGAAAAAACAATGTAAGTGATAAACAAATAACATTTTCAAATAAATCATAATCTTCTTTGTCATAAATATGTGTAGGGAAAACGGCATCCTTCAATACTCCCACAGTTGTATTAGAATAAAACTGCAACATATACCTGTGGCTGTTTTGTTTCTATACAAATTATAAATCACCAAAAAAAATTTAATCCGATAAACTCCCCCTTCTTTAAATTTCTTCATCCACTTTTGAACAAAAATTTAGGAATATGAATATGTAGAAAAGTTCCATGCAAATATGGTATAAAAAACAATGTATTAAAAAACCATATGCATAAACAGAACCTTTGAAATTAAAAAATATTCATACGATAGTACAAAAACAATACCTCTTTATCATGGACTACACACTCAATAGAGTTGATTGTTTCAGCACCTCTCTTCTCTAGAATATGATAGAAAATTAAAAATTAAAAATTAAAAATTATTCTTTGGTAAGTAAATTAATTCCTTATAAATTAGGCTATTACTTATTAGGTTATTACGTTATAATAGTTTATTAGTATAATAACGTTATATTATTTCCTTAATTAATGTTACACGGATGGGATATAGTACATATCCGTGCAGATGGGATATTATTTCCTTAGATTAACACTAAGTAGCAATAATATTACCAATTTATGCTTTATTAATTATTTTTTTACTAATAAATAAATTATTAATTAATAATATAAAAGTTTGAGCAAGAAAGTTGAAGAGTAGAATTTTACTTTTGTTAATAGTATATATAGATATATAGATATAGATATATAGATTAATGTATTTTCTACATGAAATTATAAACACGTAAAAAAAATACTAAAAATTTGCAAACAATAATATTACCAATTATATTATAAAATATAATACCATACATAATATTACCAATTATGCAATATTAGCAATTAATAGATTTTAGTTAATTTTCATTTTATATTTGCTTACCAAATAAATTTTATTAATTATTTGACTAATAAAATATTTAATTAATTAACTACAAAAGTTTGAGTGTGAAAATGAAATATATAGATATATAGATTTAAAGTGAAACAGAACATAAGTAGAAGTCGGGTGATCACATCTACCTGTATAAAAACATAGAACTACAAGCTTAAAAGATGGGGATGTGATATATATGAATATGAAGCAAAACAAAGGGCACATCGTGGTGGTAACATATCCCCTGCAAGGGCATGCAGCCCCCATGGTGAAACTGTCGCAAAAGATAGCGGAGCAAGGCGTAAAGGTGACATTTGTGACGACGGAATTCACAAGCGCCGGCATAGCGGAGTCGATGGGAGATGGCGAGAGATTCCGGGTAGTGTCGGTTCCCGATGGGCTGGAAGCCGGAGATGATCGGAATGACCAGCGGAAAGTGTCGGAGGGTGTGAGGAGAGTGATGGGTGGTGAGTTGGAGAAATTATTATTGGTGAAAGATAATGATGATGAGAAGGTTAGTGGTGTGGTTGTTGATGTACCATTGGGATGGGCTTTGGATATTCCTAAGAAGATGGGGATAAAGACTGCTGTTTATTGGGGTTCTACACCTGGATGCTTGGCTTTAGGGCTCAAGATCCCTCAACTCATTGAAGGCAATGTCATTGACAATCAAGGTATGTATGATGTGTAACAACTACTACCCATTATATTGTTTTCGATGGTCTGATCTGATCTCCCCCAAAGATTAGTTATATGTATGTATGTGCATCTTACCAATTCAGGATCTATGGATCGGAATTGATGGAGGAGTTGAGCTAGTTAGGTTGCTATCTTTTAGTTTGTGTGTTGTGAATATATGGATCATACCGGAGTAACACACACACACACAATATATATATATATATATATATATATATATATATATATATATATATATATATATATATATATATATATATGTATATATATATATATATATATATGTATATATATATATATATGTATATATATATATATATATATATATATATATATATATATATATATATATATATATATATATATATATATATATATACGGCCTGGTTCTGATGTGGCCGTGCTCCAGGTGCGATCATGCGGATCGATCTCGGTCATTGAATGAGCTCAGATCAACAACATAACAGCGTATGTAAATGACACACACTGTACACGTCCATACACTTGGACCAACCCTAAGTGCACCACATACCAGCCCTTAGTGCATCACAAATCAACCCTTAAAGCATCCACAATAGTCTAAAACATTTGTGGTATTTTAGGTGTCACATAGGAGTGTGAAGGAGGAAAAAAAAAAAAAAGAGAAAAAGAAAAAGGAAAAAAAATATGACAATTTTTTTTTTTAAAAGAAGAAACAATAGGTCTTTTAGTTAGAGTGGCCGCTAACTCTGACGCACCCTCTTGGGGCGCGAAGTGCGCTCCACTTGCGCACCTTGAACTTTTTTTTAAAAAAAATTCTCCTGCAGAATCATAGTTTTTACAAGAGTAAAATTTGAGAAAGAATCAATCTCTACATCAGTCAAAAACCATATGCTATATTTTTTAGTAATACTGCAGATCTGGTTGCCCTTAGTGCACCACTCAATGTGGTTGTCAAACCCGTTGGTCACATGGCATACCAATGTGTTCATTAGGCCCGCTAGTCCAATGGTATTACTCAACGGGTCTATTGAACTCACTGCATTTTTTCCCTTTTTTTTTTCACCCACTTGATGATGGCCTAGTGCACTCCATACCAACACTTAGTTATACGTACATAAATATATATGGTGCATAAAATTACAAAAATGCCACCATAGTTTTTCATTTTCATTGATTTTTAGCCACTTGGTGATGCACCACAGACCATCCTTAGTGTACCACAAATCAACCCTTAGTGCACAACATATCAGCACTTTGTGCACCACAAAAATAATGTGTGCAAACGCGATTAAGTGTGTTTGCACACATTTAATTCGTGTTCGTACACTTAATCTAATCTAGACCATTAAAAAAATATTAGATGGATGCACATGATTTGTTCCCACGTTCTCACTTAAGCAAGTTTTCTCATATGATCATATATATATATATATATATATATATATATATATATATATATATATATATATATGTGTGTGTGTGTGTGTGTGTGTGTGTGTGTGTGTGTGTGTGTGTGTGTGTGTGTGTGTGTGTGTGTGTGTGTGTGTGTGTGTGTGTGTGTGTGTGTGTGTGTGTGTGTGTGTGTGTGTGTGTGTGTGTGTGTGTGTGTGTGTGTGTGTGTGTGTGTGTGTGTGTGTGTGGTTTGAGAAATAATTAATGTTACAATTAATGCCACAACATCCTTTATTATTAAAAAAAAAAAAGCACAACATTTAAAAAATAAAATAGCTATATATTATATAATCATATAAAAATTATACTTTTGAAAAATAAAATAGCTATATATTATATAATCATATAAAAAATGTGTTCAATTAGAGTTTAAATTTACACATACAAAATTTGAAATTTGCTTTCCAAATGTAATTATCTTAGTTATTATTCGTATTGTGAAAATTATAATATAGATGAAATACAATTAAGAATAAATCAATGTAATTATGTAAATTCTATCTATAATTTTATTTGAATATGCACATAATTAGAGATTATATTAACCATACAAAATTATAATTATAATTATAATTTTAATTTTAATTGTAATTTTATATTCTATAAAAATAATAAATACTTGACCAATGGAAGCTCAAAAATATTATTATATTAAATAATTTAAAATATTTTAATTTTTCTATTTTTTATTTATATTTATAATAACATAATTTTTTCCCGTGCATCGCGCGGGTGAATTACTAGTATATATATATATATATATATATATATATATATATATATATATATATATATATATATATATATATATATATTTTTTTTTTTTTTTGGTGTCAACCACACATTGTGGTCCGAGTCTTTCTCTGTCCGTTTAATGGTCAAGGTCCACTCGGTTCGCTCCGAGATGCACAGAAGCTGGCCCAAAGGGGATCGTCACTTGTGGGAATCGAACCCGAGTTATCCCGGAATTCTTCCCCACAAAGAGAGCTAATTGTGTTCGCGTGCGGTAGGTCTTCTTAGGTGTGGTTGTGCGGTTGCGCGGTTGCTTTAGGATCATGATTTTCCTTCTTAAGGTGCATGGTTTGTGTGCTTAAGGTGCGTCAGTGTTGAAACTTATGTGCATCGACTTAAAGCTTTAGGTGCGTGGTTTTCTTTCTTAAGGTGAGTGATTTGTATGCTTAAGGTGTGTTGTTTTCCTTCTTAAGGTGCGTGATTTGTATGCTTAAGGTGCGTTAGTTGTTGAAACTTAAGGTGCGCCATTTTAAAACTTTAGGTGCGTGGTTGTGTCTTAAGGTGCTTTGTTTGTCAGTTTGTGTGCTTAAAGTGCGTGGTTTGTGTACTTAAGGTGCGTCGGCCTAAAGCTTTAGGTGCGCGTGGTTTGTGTTCTTAAGTTGCTTTGTTTGTGTGCTTAAGGTGTGTGGTTTGTGTACTTAAGGTACGTTGGCATAAAACTTTAGGGGCGTGGTTTTCTTTCTTAAGGTGCGTCAGTTGTTGAAACTTAAAGTGTGCCGTTTTAAAACTTTAGGTGCGCGAAATTTGTGTTCTTAAGGTGCGTCTTTTTGAGTTAACCGCACAACCGCACCTGAACCTTCCATATATATATATATATATATATATATATATATATATATATATATATATATATATATATATATATATATATATATATATATATATATATATATATAGTGGATCAGGTGCAAATATAACTTCCCGTGTGGTTGTGATGTTAACAGAAAAAGATGCACCTTAAGCATTAAAATGACGCATCTTAAGTACACAAACCACGCGCACCTAAAGCTTTAGGCCGACGCACCTGATATTGAATTTCACGCATAAATATTACAATATCTGTTATAAGTAACAATTTATTTATTTATTTATTTTAAATTGGTATTAAATTTTCTATAATAAGTATTATAATTATAATTTATATCCTAAATAACAAACAATTGTCCTAGATTCGATCCATTTCTTTGATTCATGAGATGATTTCACACAAGTGTGAGTCATACATATATGCCTTGATCTCTAAATTAAATGAAGTGTATCTAATATTATATATATCTTGCAGGGAAACAATTGAAGAATGAAAAGATCCAACTTCTCCCTGATTTTCCAGCCATTTCTCCAACGGAATATCCATGGTACCATCCTCATAACCATGACACGCAAAAGGCAATATTCCAATCAATCACAACCATTGTCCAAACAATTGCAACTTCAGATCACTACATAATCACAAACTGGTTCCCTGACCTTGCCCCATCAGCCTCTAATCTCATTCCAAATCTCTTGCCTGTTGGTCCCTTGCTAAGCCATGGCCAATCCTCCGGAAGTTTCTGCCCCGAGGACTCGAGTTGCCTAAGCTGGCTAGACAACCAGGCCCCGGGCTCAGTCACCTACGTAGCCTTCGGCAGCACCACAAGATTCACCCAAGACCAGGTACCCGCACCCGCAATCCTGCCTTATACATTTTTGTATCTTGTGTTATGAAATTCTGTACCTGGTCGTTTCAATTGCCAGGTAGCCGAGCTAGCCAGAGGGCTGGAGATAATGGATACCCCTTTCTTGTGGGTTGCTTGGTCAGGGCTCACCAATGGGTCCTTTTCATTGGGCTCACAAGATTTCATGCACGGATTGGGACGTCGGGGGAAAGTCGTCGACTGGGCGCCTCAAGAAAAGGTCTTAAACCACCCCGCAATTGCCTGCTTTTTAACGCATTGTGGGTGGAGCTCTAGTATGGAGAGCCTTGTTTCCGGGGTGCCATTTCTGTGTTGGCCTTATTTCGAAGACCAATTGTACACGCAGACTTGTGTTTGTGAGAAATGGAAGGTTGGACTGTCGTTAAGTCCAGCCCAGAATGGCATCATATCTGCCGATGAGATCAAGAACAAAGTGCACCGTCTCTTGTCTGATCACACCATCAAACAAAACGCACTAGAGTTCAAGAATTTGGCTCTCAATAGCATCGGTCAAAACGGATCTTCAACCAAAAATTTACAATATCTGCTACAACAGATCACATGAAGTATTATATATATATATATATATATATATATATATATATATATATATATATATATATATATATATATATATATATATAATAAGGCTCATATGCGGCAGTGGCTTTAGGTGCGGCGGTGCGGTCATATCAGCGTCGTCCATTCTGCTTAATCTAACGGCAGCGGCTAATTTCTGAAGATTTAAAGATTTAAGCGCGTCCTGGTAAGTTGGGGGTGTTATGGTAATTGTAGTGGTTATTTATATCGGTCGCTTGTCAGTATACACCAACAGTGTTAACAAAAGACACCAATAGTGTTAGGAAAAAGCACCACAATGAAATGCACAAATACACCAAAAAACACACAACACACCCAAAAAATACACCATATAACTCACCATCCCAATGGTGTATTCTGAACACTGTGTGATGCTTTTAGTCATACCTAGTGGTGCGTTCTGGTGATGCGTATCTAATTTGTGCATGTTTTTTTGGTGTGCATTTTCTAACATGAATGGTGTATATTTGTATAACTATTAGTGCGGTCGCACTGACCGATCGAGAAGGCACCAACACGAATTTTCAAATACACCACAGTAAGGTTAATAATGCACCAATAATGAACATAAAACACACAACACTATGATTTGATATATTCTGGTGCCCAATGACGACTTTAACCTTGCAGTTCGCGTACTGTGAGAACGCGCGCGAAAATATCGGAAAAGCCTTGATGAATGTGATTCGTTGGATGTATCTAATCTAATGGCCTACAATTAACCGCACCGCCGCACCTAAGTGCACAGCCGCACTTGATCGTTCCTCTCTATATATATATATATATATATATATATATATATATATATATATATATATATATATATATATATATATATAATTTTTCAACTAATTATTGAAGAGGGTTCTCTTTTAATTTAGGTAGTGATTGGTACGGTTTTAGGATTGTCAAATTCCAGGAAATGTGTTCACTCAAATTGCAATCGTTATATCATGCACTAGGGCGCACAATGCATTATGCGCCCTACCCTAAAACGACGACGACGTTTCTATAAGTTACGTTGGTGGGGAGCTGAGGCGATGGATATCGTTCCGTCTGTTCAATCCTGTTATTGTGGGGACCAAAAATGGAATTCACTCTATTAAAAAGCAAAAATAAAAATAAAATAGAGAAGAAGTCACAATGTTACAAATAAAATAAAAAAATTCAATTAGAATTCTCACTATTAATATTAAAAAATGCCAAAAATAAATTTCGTTCATCTCACTATTAATATTAAAAAATAAAAATAAAAAAACCACAATGTTATGAATAAAAAATCCAATTAGAATTCTCACTATTAATAATAAAAAATTCAAAAGCAGGTTTTATTGGGCGGTTAAGAGTATAAATCAGAGACCACTAGACCAAGGTGCCTGTAGTTTAGATGATCCCCTTAAAGGGAGGGAATGACGCCTTATATAGTGTGAAGGGCCTTCTGGATTGCTGACAAGCGTACGACATCAACTAGCCTTCCGTATCCATCCTCCACATGTCCCATGCATGCCTCATGTCTTCACCCACATCTCCACCCTCTCTCCCACCTTCTCTACAACCCCTCCCTACCTCTCACTACCTCCCCCAGCCGGTGGGGGCGTCGATGGTCGCCCGTGCATGGTTCCCGCTAGTCACGCCATGCCATGGGAAGTTCGATGGGCTCACATTACTAGCCATGCGCTAGCCTGAAGGGTTTATTACTAACCCCATGTCGTACCTTACCCCTCTACACCATTCCGAACACCACAACACACCACCTCACACCCCCTCGGGAACAGGTGTCGTCGTTGAAGTGCCCAAGGGCGCACCACCCTGCCCGGCCACACCATGGCCTGAGGTGGCCGACAGGACACGCCGCCGGCCGGCCAATGGCCGGTTGTGGCCTGTTAATGAATCTGCCCGTCTAGAATATAGGGCTTAAATATAAGCTGTAGCGATTCAATAAACATAAGATGATGCGGTCTGATGGTTTTGGATGTGCGCTGCTATGTGAGAAGGCGTGGGTTTGAAAGTTACTAACAGCGCCTTCCTTTGTTGCATTTTACTCCAACTCTATCCAGTGGCTGCACCGCCGGCGCGACGAGACACGCACCCCCCACCCCTCACCGCGGGCAACGCCCAGCCGCCGACGATTCTTCCCCAGTATCCTCTTCTCTCTCTTCATTTGTGTTTTTTGGGCCACCTTGCATGTTTATGTTCCTAGCCCAATAAGATTTGGGTCAACCTCCTTCCTTCACCACCCCCACTTGGGTCAATACTTTGCCAATAAAATGGGACCCCCTGGGGTCCCATATCCCTATCACAAGTCACCCACTTCTTTTAGGTATCTTGATGCCTAAAGGAAGTAGAATTCGACACCACCACCTCCTCTCTTTTCTAAACTCAAATTCTAGTTCCAAATTTTCCAGATACTTGTCGCTCCCGAGCACCATCGTACGCCATATGCCAGTCTCGCGACTGCCACACTTCGTGCCATTACCGCGCACCGCTGCCGCACACCGCACGTTGCATGGCATGCTTCATCTCCTAGTGTCGAGAGGTTAAGGTGTCTCCTCTATGACCACTTCCTTCAGATCAAGTAGTAGGCTCAGGTGTTGTTGGGTGAGTGGATCCGTCAAACTTCACCTCGCCTTCGGGATCTGGTTTTCCAAGGCTCCGCAGCAGCTTCTGCAGCTCCCATCTCTTAGCTTTCTTCTTGTCATTAGATCGGTACTTAGCTTAGTTGGTTTTTGGACACTTCTTGTACTGGACGTCTTCCTTGCTATTTAGTACTCGGCTTCTTTTGAATATTCACAGGATGTCTTTGCTCATTCTCCATGATGCACCTGCGTGCGCCCTTTTTTTTTCTTTCTTTTTAGGAAAGACAAGTATGCTTAGCCATTTCTCTCTCTGTTCTTTTTGGAGGGAATACATTTTTTTCGTTGTTTGGCTACGCTCCCTCTGTATTTGTTTGAGGGAAACAGGATGCCAAGGGGGTTCGTGATGCACACCCCAGGCCCCTACTGCCGCGTCTGGACCGCCTACCCTGCCCAGCGGGTCCACCACGCGCATGAGGGTTGTGTTCGACGCTGTTAACCCGCATGCCCCAACCGCCAAGTGCGTGTGGACCGCCTTCTCCGCCGCGCAGGTCCACAGCGCAGGGGATATGGATAGTTGCGATGCACGCCTCCATATCCTTATCACCGCATGTGGGCTGCCTACCCTGCTTAGCAAGTCCGCCACGCGCATGTGGGTTGTCTCCATGCTAACCCACATGCCCCAACCACCAAAGTGCATACGGACTGCCTACCCTGCCCTGCGAGTCCGTGCATGTAGGTTGCCTCCAAGCTAACTCACATGCCCCAACCACCAAAATGCATACGGACTGCCTACCCTGCCCTGCGAGTTCGATACGCACCTGTGAGCTGCTTCATGAACGGAGCAGACCCACCGTCTAAATAGCCGTAGGGCTAGCATGCATAGCACATAGGAGCACATAGTTTGGAAAAATAAACTTAATCTTTATTGAACTAAGTGTTAAAGTGGACGCATGATGGTAGCGTCTCAATGCACTAAATGTGTTACCTCATAGGGTAGCTCCAACTTATCGTGTTGGTGGCTCCTACTTATCGTATGTCGCCTACTTCACTTGATTCTTTTTCACAGTGTGTATGGGCAATTGGCCCATCTGCGCTCCTTCTAGAGGGATAAACCGCCCCCGCTAGACTTAGGTGGCTCTTCCATCCGCTGCCTCTTACTCCCTTCCTCTTCCATGCATTTAAGGTGATTTGCTTCTTCAGCCTCCGCGTATCGATCTGCCTTCATCATCAAGGCTGCGTACGACCCCGGGGTTTTGCGCCGCAGGCTCTTGTAAAAGTCTCCGGCGTTCGCGCAGCGATGAACGTGACAGTCATTGACAGGTCATCCATATCCTCTACCTCGGCCTCTTCCGATCTCCACCGCGCGAGAAATTCGGTGAGGGTCTCGTCCTTCCCTTGCTTGATACTATCAAGGTGCGTGAAATGCTTCTTGCTCCTGCTCCCTCTCATGAAATGGGTAATAAACCTGGTGGCCAGATCTTGGAATGAGCTTATGGAGCCGCTTATCAAGTTCGTGAACCATTGTTGTGCACCTCTCGACGGCGTGGAGAAAAATGCGTGACACATCAAGGCGTCGAAGGACCCCATTAACATCATGGCGGCCTGATAGGTCAGCACATGCTCTTGGGGGTCTCCCGCCCCATCATACCGACTGATGTTAGGGGTCTTGAAGTTAGGAAGGACTCATTCATGATCTAGGTGGTGAAAGGCGGGGTGACGGCTATCCTAGGTACCGTGGGTGGGCACCATGCTCCTTCCACCGTACCAACTCCTCGATCTTGGCATTCACCCTCTCGAGCCAGTCCATCGGAGGGTTGACTTGTCGGGCATGCACCCCTCTCTCCAACGAGCGATATGCACTCTCCTTCGGCTTCCTCTAGGCTTGCTTCGTGGGTGGTCCTCCTCGGAGTCCCATGGTCCCGCGATACCACGAGTGTCCTCCTCCCGTTTCCAAGGCTGTCGGGCCTCGCACTCGAGTGCTGGAGGAGCTGACCGCCGGCCTGGATAACATTCGCCCTCTCGCTGCCCTCCGATCTTCCTCCTTCCGCATGAATTGAGGCTGGCATCTCCTCCATACCATGCTTAGTGTTTCGTCCAACCTCGCTGCGCGGCTGAACGGGTAGGTGTTCTCCTCGCGAGTCGGCCATTTCGACGTACCTCGGAGTTTTCGTTCAGACGGATAGAGACTATAGACACGTACTAATCATAGCGGTCCCCACAGACGACGCCAATGATGGTTTTATTGGGACCAGGTATAGAGGTATAGAACGGGGAGTAAGAAAAGAGTAACTTTATTACCCAGGGCGCTCGGCCCAAAATAGTACATACAGGCTTAGAATGGCCGCCCAATTACAAAGAACAAGGTCCACGGGGTGGGCTATAGCTAACT